GATAGGAAGAATGTTTATTTTAGATAGGAAGAATGTTATGTTAGATTTCTGGAAGTAAAAGATGTTAGAGAGATGCTTTTTAATGCATCACAAATATAGGGCTCAAAACATCTATGCATTAAAAGAAATTATTAATAACAGCTGATTCAAATGCCCAAATTGATATATCATGCATCCCTAGAAGTACAATTTCAATTCCATCCAGAAAACATTGGATATGATGCATTTTTTTTTTCTTGTAAACTTTGTAATAAACTTGGAGATATATTTTATTGCATGTTGCATATCCTGGTAAATCTGTTTCACCTTTAAATCTGCATCTCTCCCTGCTTCTCTCTGTGCTGTTTAAAAAGATTCATGAACCTCTTTACTAATATAATGATGCCAGAAACTAAATTCCAAGATCTGTAGAAGCTCTGCAGCCTGATTCAGTCTGTTCAATAAGAAAACATGTTAATTTTAAGCTGTAACTGGGAGTCATCATGGTCCTCTGAGAAGGCAAGATTTTTTTAACTAGTAAAGAAGAAAAAACTATTTTTTCTCAAGCTTCTTGCACTATAATACTAACTTGTAGAAACTTACAATCTGCAGCTGTTTTTAGCTGAGAAAGTATAACAAACAGATTTTTTCGGATCTCTAATTTTTTTAACCAACCTGTCTCCTACCTTTAACGTAAACATCAAAGTATCTGCGGGTTAATAATCACTGAGTGCTGCTGTTTCTCTCCTCCTCCATGCAGCGACTCTCTAAGCAGTGAAATCTGACGTCTCAGATCCGCTGATGTTAGACCGGGATGCTGGACACAGGAGCAGCAGGAGAGAAAGAAACAAACACGGACTTTAAAGGCTCTGATCACAGATCGCTGCACCAACCTCTGTTCCCTCCGTGGCTCCCTGCCTCCGTCCCCCGGGCTTCCCTGATCAGCACCGGGGCTGACGGCTCGGTTCTGGTACCGGGTGTGTTTGGACTCCAAGCTGCACTGTAGTCCATCAGAATCCTGGACGATTTTGAAATCCCACCCTGGACATTTTTTTAGCTCTGAAAAGTAGGACATGTCCGGGAAAAAGAGGACATCTGGTCACCCTAACTTATCAAAGTCAGAACAATTTTCATCACATGGTTTGACATTTCTCTGAATTAGAAATGATAGTAATAATATTTAAACAAAAACGGGATAATCGGTGTTCTCAATGCTGGTTACAGGCTGATTATGGTCAGAACACAAAGAAAATAATTAATCTTCCTGCTAGAAATCCAACCTTTCTAACTCTGTTGTAACAGTTTCCTCTTCAGACTGACCTCTTCCAGCTCCCATCCACTAAACAGTTGATCTGTAAAAAAAAAATAAATAAATAAATAAATAAAT